TACTACAATTTCTGTTCCGGGAGGAACTGGGACTGGACTAACCATTCCACTGTAAACAATAAGAAAACTGGACAAAATATATGAAATAGCAGTTTTCAGGCACTGGACAACAGGCAGTGCAGGAATGTGATCCCTGAGAGAAGGGAAACAGATGAGGTGAGCCCTATAATTTCCTGCATTTCTGCCTGGAGACATTTTCCAGCCTGAGGTGCAGGGAGGGAGAATCCCAAGCGGACCATGGTAGTCTCACCGAGTTGAGGAGATGCAGATAAGTTTGGGGAGGCACAATTGGCTTTTTGTACGACAGAGTACCAGAGAGGACAGAGCTAAATGGAGAGAGAGTTTCAGAAATCTGTAAGAGGGGTCGTCCCCATGAGTCTATGGTTGGATACTAAGACACATGCATAGGGTGAAACACTATAAGTCTGGGCAAAGAATGATCCCAAGAACTATAAATCAAATAATTCCCAGAGTTCACATAGAGCTTGAGGATAACTGAGTTCCAATCAGAGCCAGAGAAGCACATGGTTTTATACATTGGGGAACAAAGAAGGAAAGGGGACAAACAATGCTTATGTTAAAAAGGCAAAAGAAAAAAAAAAGACGGATAGAGGAATGGACAGGTATGTGATAAAACAAGCAGAGTAAAATGTTCTTTGGGTTTTTAAAAACATTTATTTATTTATCTATTTGGCTGCGTTGGGTCTTAGTTGCAGCATGCGGGCTCCAGAGTGCACGGGCTTGGTAGTTGCAGAGCGTCGGCTGTAGAGCATGCAGGCTTAGTTGCGCTGCAGCATGTGGGACCTTAGTTGCCTGACCAGGGATCAAACCCGCGTCCTCTGCATTGGAAGGCAGATTCTTAACCACTGGACCACCAGGGAAGTCCCCACAGTAAAATGCTAATGGTAAAATCTAGACAGTAGATATCCATGTGTTGACTGCAAATTAAAGGATTAATACGGGAGTATTATGAAAAACTTTATGCCCATAAATTTCACAACTTACATGAAATGGACAAAGTCCTTGAGAGACACCATGGTGGTTTAAAAGTACCTCCACTGAAAGGTAGAGCCTAATTCCCCTCCTTTTGAGTGTGGGCCTTTGTACTGTTGTGGGGTTTTTTTAAGATTTTTTCTTTTTGATGAGGACTATTTTTAAAGTCTTTATTCAGTTTGTTATAATATTGCTTCTGTTTTATGTTTTGGTTTTTTGGCTGCGAGCCATGTGGTATCTTAGCTACTCAACTGGGGATCGAACCCGCACCCCCTGTATTGGAAGGCGAAGTCTTAACCACTGGACCACCAGGGAAGTCCCTGTATTCTGTTTTAGAATACAAATAGAATATAGTGGAATGGATGGTGTTTGATTTCTGAGACTAGGTCACTAAGGCATCATGGTGTCCTCTTTGCCCTCTCTCTTGGATTGGTCACTTGTCAGGAAACCATGTCTTCAGGACATTCAAGCAACTCTCTAGAGATGCCCATGTGTTGGAAATTGAGGCCTCCTGCCAGCAATCAGCAGTAAATTGAGATTCCTGATAACAATCAGTGAGGAACTGAGGTCTCCTGCCAAAAGCCATGTGAGTCAGTCACCTTACAAGCAGAGCCTTCAGCTTTCGTATGACTAGAGCCCTAGCTGACATCTTGCCCTATTAGAGATCCTGAATTCCTGAGCCACAGAAACTGTGAGATAATGAATGCTTAGTTTTAAGCTGTTAAATTCTCAGGTAACTTACTATGCAGCAAGAGATAACAAATACAGTCACAAACTACCAAAGCTTACTCAAGAAAACTATACAACCTTTACCTATAATCTACAAAAGAAATCAAACTAGTAGTTAAAACCTTCCAGCAAAGAAAACTCCAGGTTTAGATGGCGTCCTTGAATTCTATCAAACATTTAAGAAAAAAATAGTATCAGCTGTTAGTTTGTTGCTCCTTTCAATGTCATCTTTTTATTTTTCCCTCTAGCTATCTGATGCTTTTTCCATCATTGGTTATTGGCAGTTTTACAAGAATGTGATTTCATGTAGTTTTCATTTTATTTTCCTGTTTGGGGTTCATGAGGGCTCTTGAATCTGTGGTTTGATGTATTTCGGCAACTTTGTAACGTTCTCATTATCTCTTAAAATATTGCTTGTTTCATTTTCTTTCTCCTCTCTTTCTGGGATACCAATTTCCTATGTTAGATCTTGCTATATCTTCTATGTCTTAATTTCTCTTCTGTATTTTCATTGTTTTGTCTCTTTCTGCATTATTCTGGATATTTTCTTCAAACTTGTGTTTATTCACTAACTTTTCAGCTATGCCTGTTTTATTGTCAAATCCATCCATTAAGATTCTAATTTCAGTCATGTTATTTTTCAGTTCTAGTATTTCCATATTGTTTATGTAATTTTCAGTTCTTTGCCAAAATTCTCATAAGTTTAGTTTGTGTCTGTAAACTCCAATACTTGGAGGTCATGCAGATCTATTTAAATAAAAACTTCTGCTGGTGTTCATTTATATCTCTTGGTGTAGCTACTTTTTACTATGTGCTTTACGATGTACTTACAAAACTGTTTAGATTTTGAGGCCTATTGCACTAATTTTCTATTGCTGCTAACAGTTTTACCACAAACTTAGCATCTTCCAACAACACACATTTATTATCTCATAGGTTCCGTGGGTTAAGAGTCCAAGCACAGCTCAAAGGGCCTCTGTTTCAGGGTCTTACAAGGCTAAATCAAGGTGTCAGCCTGAGCTGTGATCTCAGCTGAGGTTCCACTATGAAAGGATCCACTTCCAAACTTACATGGTTGCAGTATTCAGTTCCCTGCAGACTGTTGGACCAAGGACCTGCTTTTGGCTAGAGACCACCCTCAGTTGCTTGCCATGTGGCCCTCTCTGAAGGCCAGTTCACAACATGGCAGCTTGCTTCTTTAAAATTAGCAAGGGAGAGAGTTCCCTAACAAGATGGGCATAAGGATCTGATGTAATATAATCATATACACATAAATGATACATCCCATCATCTTTGTGGTATTGCATTAATTAGAAGCAAGTCCTAGATCACCTTCTCCACACATACACTCCCCCCCACACACACACAGAATACGAGCTTATAGGGACCATGGGGGGTTACCTTAGAGTCTGCCCACCATACCAAGGATATTAACTTCCTCTAAGAGAGCTCAGATTTGCTTTAGTCAAGCACCTGGGAGCTCTAAAAATCTTAGATAACTTCAGTCCAATTTCAGGGATTGAGAGTATTCAAAGGTGAGCTGCCTGTTCAAGCTCCTTCCCTCACATCAACTTTCTGGCCAGCAAGGAGGACAGTGAGAGAGAAGGTTGCACCCTCATTTAAATTTCACTGGCCAATACTTAGTCACAATGCTCCTTCCTAACTGCAAGGAAGGATGAAAAATATAGCTTTTATTTCAGATGGTCATATGCCTGGGAAAAATGGAAAAAAGTAGAGTACAAAATTGAGGTAAGTGCAACTAGTGGACTCTACCAAACATGGTTAATAGGTAGATTATATTTTAAAATTTATTCGCAGAGAGAATAGTCTTATATTTTACTTTTTTGGTATTTATTTCCAAAGTATGTCTAGCAGTTACAGATCTTCAGAATAAGCCTAATGCTTAGTTCACATAAGAATACACTACTTCCAAATCAGTTAATTTTAGAGATAGGGATGCAGTATCTATTGCCCACGTGTTCATTAATTTCACACTTTCCTTTTGAAATGAAATACAAATTAATGTTCTTCAAGTATTTTAAATTTATATCATTATTACAGACTGTAACTCCAGAATGCTGATTTAATCAGTATGTTATTTCTGTTTGGCAATGAAATATTGAGTGATACAATATATAGTTTGTAGGAATACTCAACATTTAAGAAACTGTTTTATATAGGGATATTAGCAAAATATCAGCTGACCTAGAAAGTTGTACAGTACTGTGTTAATTTCTAGGCTCACATGTTTTAGGCATAAATATCCCTTATGTAATAATGTTAGGATTTTCTTTTCCATACAGAAAGCTCCAGAAATAAAAATGTTCAATGTAATTTTATGGGAAAAAAATTGGTACTCTTTTTTTCCAGGTTGAAAAAGTAAACTTTGTTTTGCTTTAAATTAATAGGTTAGATTATGTTGAAACACTTACTCTTTTTTTAAATTTTATTTATGAAACACTCTTATACATTGTGATTTCTCTACAAGTTGAGGCCAGTAACAAATTATAAATTATGCAAGCAAAAAATAATAATAATACTTTCATTTTTAGTAGTTGTAGATCAAGTAATTTGGACCAGATCTTCTACAGAGTACATCGGGAGAAGCTGATAGCTGAACAAAATTTTTAAAATATCTGCTTAAAGACATGAGAGAGCTGACAATAACTGTTGGCTAAGGAAGCACAGAAACTTAGGTAGGTGAGCTTCTTTTCCCTGAAACGGTTGGCCAATTCTGTAAGTGGTATCTGACATACTGAGTGGCTATCTTGACAGTCTTCGTGGGACCCAGGTGAAGAGGTATTGGAGTATGAGGCCTGCAGTGATAAACCCTTCCCCTTACTTTGAATAGGATCCCAAAAGGCTGCCAATCATGAGTAAGAGTGATTCAGAAGTAAACAGGCCTTCAAAGGCCTGTTTATGAATATGACCATCTGAAATAAAAGCTATATTTTTCATCCTTCCTTGCAGTTAGGAAGGAGCATTGTGACTAAGTATTGGCCAGTGAAATTTAAATGAGGGTGCAACCTTCTCTCTCACTGTCCTCCTTGCTGGCTAGAAAGTTGATGTGAGGGAAGGAGCTTGAACAGCAATCTTGGATCATAAGTTGGAAGTCAAGTGCTGAGGCTGGTAGAGCAACACAGAAACTTTGAGATACTTAACTCTGAAATTCTTTTAAGTGAGAGGGAAAACTTTTGTTCTTTTCTTAAAGCCACTGTTATTTGGGGTTTTAGTTTTATGCTGCTGTATTTAATCTTAACTGATACACATTTCAATTATTGGCGTATTACTCCTTTATTAGAAATTGTAAATGAGAAATTATTTCAACACCTGAAGACCAAGATACAACAGAAGACTCCATAGGCTCAAGATTTTGAGACATCCTAGAAAGAGTTTTCTGTAAAGTATATCCTTTCCGTGGCATGGCAACATCATTCTTCTTTAAAAAGGTTACTGGACAGACATCGTTTCCGCCATCACCTATATAAACAATTCGTGTATAATTCACTCCTCGTTGTAACTGTTTACCTACAAACTCCACCAAAACTACATTTTTGCAAAGATTTGGGGGGCACCTAGTGCAAGAATGAGCATGATAATTTTCCACAGTGAGATGACCATCGCTGTCAAAAGCTGCTGGATTTGTAAAGACTTTATCAAACACGTCATGAACATTGCTAGCTTCTAAAACCCAATCTATGAAGACTGAATTTGAATCTGAAATAATGATGCAATCAAATTTATCCTTGTTCTTTCTTATAAAGTTTAAAAGTTCCACCATCCCTGGAGTGAAAGGCATTGATATCACTGCTCTTTTCATTTCATCTTCTCTTACACCTTTATCTCCCAAATACTTAAAGACTCTGCCCATAAATTCTGTCCAAAATCCTTTTTCATAAGAATCTTGTAGTTCAATAGGAAGCTTTTTCTCTGGAGCACATTGTACAATCCAGGTATCACTATTATCATCTATGATTGTATTGTCAAAGTCAAAAACCAACAAAATTTTCATGGTTCCAGAAACAGATTTGGGTTACCCTGGAAAAGAAGAAATATTATTCCCTAAACATACTCGGTTCTACATATCTAGCTATAGTATCTATTTAACAAAATTACTCTTAATCTGCTGAAACAAAGGGTGAATATAAACAAGTTAAAATGACTAAGCATTCTAAGACTACCATTTAAGCACTTTTTCCTAAGAAGCAAAGTTCATATTTGAGTATGTTAAATGAATGGAAAACAGAACATATAAAAAGGATACTCAGGGTATTACTGTGTTCCTGAGGGGGTGATTCTTTGAGCACTCAGAATTAAACTAGAGAGCAATCTAATGAGAGAAGTAATGAAACAATTATTCCCTTACACTTTAATTTAGAAAAGTTATAAAATAAGAGAAAAAAATGTAGGCTAGTCATTCTTATTGTCTTTAAATGATCAATCACAAACTTATTAGTTTAAAATGTTTACAATGAGCTTCATTTTAAATAATAGGTCATGTACAATACATATTCTCTGTGAACTAACCAAAACTCTGACCAAATTTAACATAATGTGAAATCTTGCAAAATTTAAATAATTTTTTAAAAAAGGTTTTTAGCTTGAAATCATCGTTGTCAATGTTACAACCAAATGGTTGCTTGATGTTGTACTTGAAAGTCTAAACAAATTACTTGAACTGGAGGTCAGTTAAATTCTTCCACACTAGAAGTAACTTTTGTTAACAATTTTCACATTTATTTATATTTTCTCTAGATAGTTTAGCTCTGGAGTACCAAATAATCTGGATATATGTGAATAATCACACTGCTTTTGATATGACAATTACTCAAGTCTCTGTTTTCATTAATAGATAATGAAGATCATTAACTTAAATCTCAAGAGAAAAGGAATGAATCAACAGATGGTATAAATGAAAATTATCATGTAAAAAAGATAATTATACAGAATTCCCAGGAAAAGCTACAATTAGTATCTGTAAACAACAACAAAAAATTTTTTTAAAGAGTAACTAATATTTTTATAGATATCACTATATGCCAGATACTGGACTAAGAACCTTACAATCTCATCATCTGTCATAAACCCATTTAGTAGGAATTATTATTATCCTCATCTTAAAGATATATAACTGGAGCTTAAGTATTAATTAAGTTGGTTGAGTATTAGTTAAATGGCAGAGCTAGAATTTGGACTCAGGTCTGCCTGACTCCAAAGTTCATGGTTTAGTAATACACTCTAGTGCCTAAGAAATAGAATAACGACTATTAATCAGTTTAAAAATAAAATATTAAGTAGGTCATTTGGACGAAAAGATGTTTAATAACATGAAAATATTCATTAATCTCAAAGTACACACTAACCATCTGTGATCTACTTTACAACCGTTCTGAAGTTTTAGCAAGAAATCCTAAAATGAAAAGTGAAGAACCCCACCAATAAGAAAAAGAAGAGATCAGTTAAAAATAGAAAACATGGGGGACTTCCCTGGTGGTCCAGTGGTTAAGAATCCACCTTCCAATGCAAGGGATGCAGGTTCGATCCCTGGTTGGGGAGCTAAGATCCCACATGCTGCGGGGCAACTAAGCCCACGCACTGCAACTGCTGAGCACGGGGGCACAACTAGAGAATGCATGTGCCGCAAACTATAGAGCCCAAGCTCTCTGGAGCCTGCGCACCACAACTAGAGAGCCTGTGCGCCACAACGAGGAGCCCAGGTGCTGCAATGAAGATCCCGAGTGCTGCACATAAGACCTGACTGACACAGCCAAAAAAAAAAAAAAAAAGAAAACATGGCATTTATCTACATGTATTCTCTGGTTTATAATGATAGATATCCAGCAGGTGAAACTGAGAATGAGCTCATGACTCATATAAGAGTAAGTATTTTTTGCCTCTCAATTTAGAATATCTGGAGAATAACAAACCTAGAGGATATATCTCCTGTTGTATGAATTTAGATGGTATGATGGTATAAAGTATTCTGATACCCTGGATCCATGAATCGCTAAATGTCTAATCCAGGTGTCCCTGATTGGCTTCCAGGGATTTAAGTGCAGAAATCACTTTCCCATAGAAACAATGTAATAAATAGCAATAAAGTGCAGTTGACAATCACATTGGTAATGCACCTAAGCACATTTTAAATTAAAATGCTTTTTAGGCATTCTGAATTTATACATAATTAAAAAAATTTTTTTCAAATGTAACTCATTGTTGGTTGAAAAGTGTTTCAAACCTAGACTTAACCAGCCACAAGTTACTAAAATTCCTTCACTATTAACCTCCAAATAAGATGTATCATAAGCCTGAAGTTAACGAAGTTCCAACTGTTAACTTAGTTCCACTGTTGACTATTAATTTCTATCTACAAGTGTACTTTTCTTAATTTCAGATCTTTTTCCATTAGTTTTTTCCCACCACTCAACATAAACCTTTATTTAAAATACTTACCCAATTTAGTATTTCCAAGACAATTAATCTTACTTCAGCATGGAGCTTAGGTTAAACAGTCATGACAATCTTCAGTTTTAAACACCAGCCAGTTTCTAACCAACATTACTCCTACCCTATATGCAGGGGAAAAAGTCTTCTGATTCCAAGCAAAGGAATGGAGACTTCTTAACTCCTAAAATTAATAAAAGTATTTAAGATATTTAAAAATTTACATTTTCTAATGTTTTCTCTTACATCAGAAAAGCACCTATGGCAATGGGAGGAATAAAATTTTGTTTAAACAAAAACCTTAAATACAAAACAGGGAATGTTATGTGAATATAAGCTCTTATCCAGTGGATAAAATCACAGGTGTTAGGCTGATTATGTTATGATTTCCAGATTCCAGTTTTTCTTTTTACTTATTAAATAATAGACAAATACCACATTCTGTTGTCAATAAACTTTCAAAGATTTAGTGCTGTACTTGAAATAAAAATGTCTCCAAAAATTAAGGATGTGTAGAAAGATTTAGTGAAAGTGAATCTATTTTGAAATCAGTTTGTTAAAATGCCAGAAGCAGTTATTAACTGTTCTCTCCGGAAGCATGAAAAGTATGTATTTTGTATGTCTGCAATGTTTCCAGGGTCTAACAATAGCCTATGTGCTTTTTTACAGTAATGAAAACTAGAAACTATATAGACATCCAAGAATAGGGGATTGCTTAAATAAGATATGTACATGATAGCCATATAACAGACCATTTATTTAGTGAGTAAAAGGTTAAGATGTTCAAATTAAACAAACAAGTCACAAAACAGTGTTTACAGTATAATCTCATTTTTGCTTTTAAAAAAGAAATGTCTGTATACAGTGGTAGCATCAATTGCAGTGCATTCTTTTCCTACGCTGATTTTGTAATAAATTATTTTCCCCAGAATAATTTAAGCTCTGCTTCAGATCAAAGTGCATATGCTACCTTCTTAATTTCACAACAAAGAAAACAAAAATGAGTGATGGCCATAGAGGGTAAATAACTAATTCTAGATACACTTGGCTGTAAAGATCCATGGATTAGAGTTAGAACCAGGTGTTGTAAGTCAAATGATACCTGAACACTACGCCAAACTGGCAAATTACTGACACCAAATATTATAAGATTCAATAATTTTTGTAACCAATTTAGTTAAAATTCCACAGAATTTTTGTTAGGAGGTAATCTCCATGGGTCTCTAGTGGCTTGGCATATCTTACAAGGTACTCACTGCCCTTTGCCTGGATATTGTCTCAAAAATGTATGTAAGGGTTTCCCTGGTGGCGCAGTGGTTACGAATCCGCCTGCCAATGCAGGGGACAAGGGTTCCAGCCCTGGTCCTAAGAAGATTCCACATGCTGTGGAGCAGCTAAGCCCATGCGCCACAACTACTGAGCCTGTGCTCTAGAGCCTGTGAGCCACAACTACTGAGCCCACGTGCCACAACTACTGAAGCCCGCACACCTAAAGCCCGTGCTCCACAACAAGAGAAGCCACCACAATGAGAAGCCCACGCCCCACAAAGAAGAGTAGCCTGGCTCACTGCAACTAGAGAAAGCCCGCGCGCAGCAACGAAAACCCAATGCAGCCAAAAATAAATAAGTAAATAAATAAATAAATTTATTTTAAAAAATGCATGTATAGTGAACAGTCTTGAAAGGCATGCTTATTGTCCATTATAATAAAGATCTGGATGCCCTAAGCTCAGGGTTCCTGTTCTGTAATGCAACACACTCCATGTGCAGGTGACTTCTGGGACTCTTTGCATCATCCTGTGGCAACTGGGGCAAAATTACTGATATTCTGGCTACTGCTACTGCTGTAATTCATCACTGTTCTAGGGGTCTGCATCTTCTACAGAACGGTGGCAGCCTAAGTTGTCAGCATGCAAGTAGGGTAAAATCTCTGACTCTTCCCAGTTCTTGGCTTTTTTTTTTTTTGGCGGTATGCGGGCCTCTCACTGTTGTGGCCTCTCCCGTTGTGGAGCACAGGCTCCGGACGCGCAGGCCCAGAGGCCATGGCTCACGGGCCCAGCCGCTCCGCGCCATGTGGGATCTTCCCAGACCGGAGCACGAACTCGTGTCCCCTGCATCGGCAGGCGGCCTCTCAACCACTGCGCCACCAGGGAAGCCCAACATTTTTAAAACTATGATTCCAAAAAACCACCAATGTTGTATGTGCAAAATCTATATTTCTGCCAAGAAATATTTTATTAATCCTTTCATACTTACCAGCATTATTACGATGGATCGATCATCTGATAGAAAACCTGAAGAAAAACAGTACAACTATGTGTTAGAACTTCAGTGATTAAAAACCTTACCTCCTTTCATATTGAGCAACTCCAGTTTGATGCCTAATGTGTATGTGTCATAGCCAACTACCTTGTAATGTAATCATTTGTACCTCGACGTGTTAGAAAAGGATCTTTTGAAACGTAGCCCATATTCACTCTTAACAGGGTTTTGTGTCCTTAAGAGGTCTGATTGGTCCTCCAAATACATTCAATTTACTATACTGTATTTACCGAGCAATTAAAGATATCTTAAAGGCCCTAACATGAATGTTATAATCCAAGTTTTAACATTGCGATTAAAAATAAAAAACTAAGCCCCATCTAGCCCAGATCATGCGTTAGAAACCAAAATATTTAAAAACAGATTTTCTGTCAATTAATTCCTGAGTTTCTATGGTTGAGGGAGGAGGGCTTTGCCGTTCACCTTCCCCCGCGAGGTCTGTGGGTCACACACGCCAAGCCCAGGCCTCGCTCTCCCGCACACCTGCCGGGTACATCCCGAAGCCAGGGGCAGGGACCTAGTCGGGTGTCATTTCCCGAGAGGCGCACGTTGGATGCCGATGCGAGCACCAGGCCGGGCCCAGCCGGGTCCCAGGGCTCGTCACTGACCCAGACCAGAGACTCGAAGTCGTTCTGGCCTCTGCGCCGCTTCCGAGGGCTCTGTCCTCCCGCCCACTCCGGACGCCTGCGCCTGCGGGGAAGGACCGCCCCACTCGCACGCCTGGCCTTGACTTCCCGCGCAGGCGCAGCCTCCCTTCTCCGGCACCACAGCCCACAGCTGCGCGTTCTTCGTTCCTCGGCGACGACTGTTGTCACTTCCGGCGGCGTTGCTAAGCAACTGCGCGGTTTGGCGGAAACTTCCGCGTCGGAATCGCCTTTCCAAGTCTGAGAGCGCCATAGGTACCTCAGAGATGCTGATGCGGCTCGGAAGGCGCTGTGGACGAGCAAAGGAAAGCACGGGTGAGCTAAACTGGTCCATCCCACCACAGGGATTGTTTCTGGTCTCCAGGCATGGAGTGAGAGGCGAGCGTGCCTTTCCTTCTGAAACGGGCTCCACCAAGTCAAAAACAGCACAGTGGGCATCGTCGGGCTTTGTGTAAATTAGACAGTTTTGCCCTTGGATGAATGGGTAGGTGGGGAAAGTATACAGAAATAAGGGTAGAGAAAAAGAAGTCAGAGACTCCCAGTTGACCAGCTGGCCCGATACTCAAGCTGTGCCGTTGCAGCTCCAAGAATCTGGTGTTTGCTGAATTTTCTCGCGCTTAAGCTTTGTTATTCATTGAGTGAATCGGAATGTATTTTGGAAATATCAGTGACCTCATTAGAGTCTTGGCTCTGCTGTGAACCTACTGAGTACTCTTAGGAAAGTGTCTGAAGGAAAATCTCAATTTCTCCAACTGTAAAATGAAAGTAAGTTCTCATCCTAAGGCGTATACTTTGATAGAGTGTGAAAATAATGCTACTTAAGGTATTGTAATTCACATGACCTTTTATAAAAATTTGATTTTGTAATAGAAGTAGCCTAGTGAGACATTTAAAGATCTCTTTATTAATTCCAGTGATTTTAGTTTCTTAAGATTGTAAATTCCCAATTAATGTTCTCATGGTGACAGAACCTTGGGAACTTGGACTATCTTCATGTCATCTCCTTAGCTTCTGTAGCAATAGAGTCCCTTGTGCCAAATGCTGAGTGAGAGCCAGCCAGTCTCCCACCAGTGGACACTAGTGGGTATTTATGCTGTGGAGGGCTTAAGAAGTAGCAGCAGAGGGTCATGACATGTAGGAGAGAGACAGTACCCATGTGGCATGTATTGAAAAAACAAAATTACGCTCACATATTCACTTTCCTATATATAAAGTGCTGCATTAAATCAAAAAGAACAACGGCAAAAATTGTCAAACTCAATTTTTGAGAACTCAGGAAACCAAAAGTTTGCAACAATTGGGGAGTGTTTATCAAGACAAATAACTGAATCTTGGTAAGAACAGTGAGCTTTTTGCATTTTAACTTGTTCTAGTCCCCTTCTTTCTCCCTGCCCTATGGTAGCCTAGAAAACCACTGCAATCACAGTGAAATCCAGTGGCTTAGCAGCCTGTGGAGGGAGCAAAATAGCGTTGAACCCCTCCCAAAGCCCATTTCCCAGGTAACTTATTATTTGAGCTGTCTGGCAGTTCCTTGGAAACTTATTATTTGACCTGTCTGGCAGTTCCTTGGAAAGTCCCACTCACAAGGCTTGTCTTTATTTGACCTGATTCAGAGCCCACCAGTTATGTTTGTTAAAACAATCAGTGGAATTTTAAGACGTTTTAATTGCTTCACACCTCCAACAGCCATTACTAGCATTGTGTGAAAGTCCCTGTGAGGTAGGAATCATGGAAATAAGACTGCCCTCTGAGAACTGAACTCTGCATCAACCCAGTGGATTAAAGCATGGATATGTGAAATCATTCATAGCTCGGAGGTCAATCAGGGCTCTCCTGATGCTCAAAGATATGAGGGAACTGGGACTTCCCTGGTGGCCCAGTGGTTAAGAATCCGCCTGCCAATGCAGGGGACATGGGTTTGAGCCCTGGTCCGGAAGACCCCACATGCCGTGGAGCAACTAAGCCCGTGCGCCACAACTACTGAGCCTGCGGGCCACAACTACTGAAGCCCGCGTGCCTAGAGCCCGTGCTCCGCAAAAAGAGAAGCCACCACAATGAGAAGCCCGCATACTGCAACAAAGAGTAGCCCCCGCTCGCCATAGCTAGAGAAAGCCCATGTGCAGCAACGAAGACCCAACGCAGCCAAAAATAAAAATAAAAAATAAGCATATTTATAAGAAAAAAAAAAGATATGAGGGAACTTGGCCCAACTTTTGTTACCTGAGATAGTAAAAAGCCTTTCCCAAACTTTCCATGGCTTGTCCTATTTTTTCTGCTGCTTTTGTGGTTGTTCTCTTGGTTCTCCTCCTGTATCAGAGTTCATGAAAAGTTCTTGAATAAAATATCTCATGAATGTAGTTACTCTACAGAAGATTGAGGTGTCATAAGGGATCACATTGTTCACTACACAACTTTTTGGCATCTTGTTTTCCTGCCACTGCTGCCAAAGCTTGCTCACCACTGTATACTTTGTAAGGAGCAGCTCCTACCAGTATGGGCTATTTGGTCTACCCAGCCCCTTTAGTATTTTGGAAAATTAAATTGTCTCCATTTTATTTCACATCTTAAAGAATTAGAATGACTCTTGGGTCAGAGAAAGAAAAGCATATTTTTTTCATAAATTTATTAATTTATTTTTGGCTGTGTTGGGTCTTTGTTGCTGTGTGTGGGCTTTGTCTAGTTGTGGTGAGCTGGGGCCACTCTTCGTTGCAGTGCGTGGGCTTCTCATTGCAGTGGCTTTTCTTGTTGCGGAGCACGGGCTCTAGGTGCAGGGGCTTCAGTAGTTGTGGCTCATGGGCTCTAGAGTGCAGGCTCAGTAGTTGTGGCACACAGGCCCAGCTGCTCTGCGGCATGTGGGATCTTCCCAGACTAGGGCTCGAACCCGTGTCCCCTGCATTGGCAGGCAGGTTCTTCACCACTGCGCCACCAGGGACGTCCAAGAAAAGCATATTAATATGCCTAAAAATATGCTAATCAAAAGGCAGGTGGCTTAATTTAATGGCCTTTGTTTATGTAGCTTCTAATTGTAAGTAACACAAACCAAGTTGAGCCAGTTTAGGTGAAGCAAAGGATAATTGTTACAAGGCTATAAGGATGTATTGGTCAGGACTCTTTGGTTACAAGTGACTGATCTAATTCACTGTAGTTAAAAGGGGAATATTTTGGCTCACATACCTGTGAATTTAGGTATAACTCGATCCAGGACACTATTCTACTTCTCAGCTTTGCTTGTCTTTATTCTGCATGTGGAGACTTGGTATATGGTAGGCAAGTTGGTACCTGTGGTTCTAAAGTCACATTTTAGGTTAACAACCAAATTCTCATTCCCATCAACTTTAATTCAAACCCCAAGAAGACTGTAATTGTCCTAGCAGCTTTTCTCTTAGTATCTTTCTGGAGCCACATGATTTCTTGCCTCTGCTTTTCTACTTCTGTTTCATTCTTCTAATAAAAGCAGTAAAAATAATAATAATTTAATATTTATTGAGAACATATTGTGTGCCAGGCACTCTTCTAAATTCTTTACATATATTACTTCATCTAATTCTTACACCAGCTATATAAAATGAAGTAGATACTATTAGTATTTCCATTTTGCAATTAAGGAGTTAGATTTAGAGGGTTAAATAATTTTGTCTAGATTCACATAGTTCATATGTGGTGTGTTCAGAAAAGATCCAGGTTGTCTGTCTCCAGAGTCCACACTCTTACCCACTGTGCTTTATTGCCTTTGTTAGGCCTGTGACCACCCACCATTATTCAAATGTATTTCCTATTTTGGTAAATTCTTCTCCTTACAAGTCCTACCTCCTAAAAGCAGAAGGCATCTTTTTCTGCCTCCCTTGCAGCTAGGGTGCAGGCATAAGACCAAGACTCAGCTGGTCAATTGTATGTGTGCTAGATTTACATTCTGAAGAGAGCATATGAGGAAAGAAACAGCATGTTGAATACATTTTCTGGGGAGAGTGGCAGCAAAAGTGTACCAATTCCAGATTACTCGTGAAGGTTCACATATATAGTGTCCAGTGGAGCAAGTTATAAGTGGGGCAAGTTGAGGTGCCTACCCAATGCCAGTTGCTGTGAATCTTCACTGGAACCTCACGATGTGGTCTGTGTGATATTTGTATGTATATCTTCTAAGGGTAACTCTCTGGCTGTCTGAGAGCTTCAGTAGGCTATCTAATATCCCTTAATGAATTCCTTTTCTGCTTAAACTAGCTAGAGTGAGTTTGGGTGTTTATAAGTAAGAACTTCAGTTGATTAAAAGGGTAGGAACATTTTTTAGAGAAGAGCTGTTATGAGCTCCATTGTGTCATTTAGGATGCTTGTGAATTCATTTCACAGAATACCCAGCTCAATCATGTTTAAAAATAAGGAAATTTATTTGCTCATATAACAGGAACTCCAGCCTTTGGGTCTGATTAATCTAGCAGCATAATGAAATCCTCATTGCCCCAGGGTCTTCCTTTGTTTCTTCTTTGTGTTTCACAGTTAACAGCTTCATCCTAAGGCTGCTTCCTCTTGTGGTCATAAGGATGGCTGCTTGTCTGGCCTTCATGCTTCCTCATTCATATCTAGCCTGAGAGTCACTCTCAGATGTCTCTCCCAGAAGTACAAGCAAGAACTTTTCTAAAAGTCTCATAACTCTTGTCCTATTTATTTTCTTACTACAGGAATAATTATTGTCAAGGGAGATGCAAGTATTCTGAAATTAATGAGGCCCACCCCGGGACTGAGACTGTAGTCAGTTCTCCAAATTACATTGCTGCTACTCAGTTAGGACGGGGTTGTATAGAGTAGATAAGCGCAATGTCTACAACCCCAAAAGATGAACATTCCCCAAAGTTATCCACTTATAAACTGCTGCTTGATTAACTTTGAAAATGCTTTTATAACAACCTGTTGGGGTAGGTATTATTGATCTCAACTTTAAAGATGTTGATACTGAGACTCCAAGAAGTTAAATGACTTGCCCAAGTTACACAGTAAGGAATTGACTAAGTAAGGACTCAAATCTATGTCTTCTGATTTCAGGGTCTTGTA